CAAGCCGTTAACGCAAGCACAGCGCTAGGCGTAAGCATTCCTTCCATTTTAAATAGACATATCATCATTTTCTAGATAAAATTCGCATCATTAAAGAAATAAATATTTTCCACATTGTTCTAAATCACTGAGAAAGCAGGCTATTGTACTCTGCACTTGAGTAATAATACCAAGCTGCAGCAGATTCTAGGCTGGATTCCTGCATCACCAGCTCTCTGCTTGCTCTAGTTCGCTGCTTCTTCAGTTCTATTGGAATTGTCCTGAAAGGAGTGCCAGGTCCAGATAAAGTTGAAAATCTTTTACTGAGGAAAAGGCCGCACGCCTGCTTGGCGGTCTATGTCTGGCCTTTACACCTGAGAATTGTCAAATGTCACGCAGCTCCATCGGTGGTCGGCGCTCTCTGGCCCAAGCCAAGGAAACGCGAGAGCACTTCTCTTGCTGGACGTATCAAACTAAGGATGGTTTAAATCGTATCAAGATGTCATCCAAAAACCTAACACACTTGTTTTCACTTACACGGCGTGAAGGCTATCCTAAGTCAGCTGTTGTTAGCTCTACAGCCCCACAAAGCCAAACCAGAATACTGAAATACAGGCACTGAATATTGTTATACAGCGCTGGAAATGATGCCATGTGATGCTTATTCTGAAAGGAAATTAGCGGTCTTTTGATATCACTTGTTTCAAATGTTAACTTTCACCTGTCCCTCTTGTATGAGTTTATTTGCATCACCGTTGAACCATTGGCAATAGTCCCCAGTGTTAAAGCTTCAAATCACAATCAGCAGGTCATGAAAATACCCTTTCTTATTAGAAAATATTTCGTAAACAAACACAGTTTTGCATGGATACCATATTGCCTTATATAATCCAACTGTACAGTGGCCCCATAACCCACTGCCTGACATTTTGCTTTAGAAAAACCTGCCAAATGGCGAACTTTCTGAACATCCTCTGCAACTCAACTCTTTCACTAGTATTATAGAGAAAATTACTCGTTCCACAAGAATGCTTTTTCTTTGCCATGATAGTATGAAGAGGATTCGCGTTTTCTTTGCGGCGCTTTTCCACTGGCCCCGCGCCCGACGCGCCACCACAAGGGAGATGCCGAGATGGAACCGCACCCGAGGGCGGCCGAGAGGCGAACACAATCACCGTGATCTGACTTCGCTAGAAACTTCCAATTTGAGAACTTCCCTCCTCTTGATGGGCTGTTGGCGCCGAGGAATCGTCCCTCTTTACTGATGCGAAAGAGCACTTTGCAACAGCCGATTGGCTCTTCACAAGGATACTTTCGTTAAAAAGGTTTCTGCGACACAGACACGTATGGAATTTTAGTCATTTCAACTAGACATATGTAATATGCACAACAAACATTCGCAGAGTTAACAGAAGTTCTGAGGCATCTCCCATGCTTTTATTAGGCAGTTTTTAACGCTTCTACACATATTAGACATACCTGTATCATCAAAAATAATCATCACAAAAAATATCAAAATAACAGTAAACTTCTAATACATTTGCGAGTGGTAAAAAAAAAGAAGAAAAAAGAAAAATAGTAAATTAGGCGCATTTATGATCAAACAATGGGCATCAAATCAATAAAAAATCTTTTTAGCGAGAATGGGGCAACGCAAGGATAATCATTGCTAACAGTAATATTAATGTACTGCCATTATCATGATTATCCTTGTCATTGCTATATGTATGATATTCATCAATGAATTATCATTATTGTTCTCACCATTGGTTATCATTATCATCATCACCTTCATCATTATCATGGTATGAATAATATATCTGTTATCACTTATACAACTATTATCATTAGCGTTTTTACTTTTATTGATATAGTAGTATTACTGTTGTTAATATCATGCTCGAGTTAGTATCAGCGTTAGTGTTACTATTGTTATTATCATTATGTTCATAATTATCAGAATTATTATTTTTATCACTATGAGTGTTATGTTTTATGCTTGACACGGTTATCATTATTGTTGTAATTATCATAATTATCTCTTAGATTATTATTGCTAGAATCACATTTCTTATATGAGCATCATCCCCGTTGCTATTATTGTTGGCATTATCGTATTCCATTGTTGACTTTCATATCGTCATTATCACAGATTACAATCTTCATCATCGTCATTACCAATATTATTATGATGAGTTTAAGATGTTTACAACAGGCATGCAGAAAACACGCTGACGTTGCCGCACCACATACAGTACCTTCAAAACCCTATAACAATTTTACAGTTTGGAATTTGTGTGCATATGCAGTATATAATACTCACGGTTACACCACAAATACCCTTTAGAGTGGGGCTTCTATATCCCCAACTGCAGTGTCCGCTTTGGCACCATAACTCCGTCACTCGACTCTCAATACAGACCACATCGCCAGTCCGATTCATTGCCAAAATGACTTCCGAAGATGTCAACAGTCTGTATCTATTCTAGATATGGATGACTTATATTAAAGGAAGTTAGGACAACTGAGTGCTAATGTCTAATAAAGGGCTAAATGCCTTTCGGTTTTAGAAAGATCTTGAATGTCTGTGGTAGCACTTGTCTGGTTTTAGAATATGAAATAAGAGTGCTAGTTAAGAATCTAATATTATACAGTATGTATAATATTAGATTAGATTGAATAAACATGAAATAAACACAAATATCCAACGATTGCGTGCCATGGCCCCAGCATTTAGTCCTCGTGCCACCAAGGGATATGGATATCCCCGTGTAAGAGCCCCTTACTTACACTTTTTTATGACCATCACTTTTACTCATTAACTCATTAAGTCTATACACATCTTATCGGTCAGTCGAGCTCCCCTGTTGGCCTTCTGCGACTCCTTCTGCCAAAGGGCCTCCCAGACACTCGTGTAGATCCCTTCGTCGCATATAATTGTATTTGTATAAATATGGAATGCCACCTTAGGCCTCAGCACATAGGCCCCTTGGGAAGGCTGAAGTGACACGGTTGCCCCTTTAGAGTAACTTATCGGCGGCATACATCTTGTATGTAGACGTACATAAGCCTACAAGCATCATTATCATATTCATCCCTTTATAGTTACTGTCAGCATTATTACTATTATCGTTGCCATTGTTGTTATCATTATTATCATAATAATTGTCGTATCGTATCATTATTCTACTATTGCATATCGATATAGCTATTGCCATTATTTCCTTTGTTATTATTCTTTTTCCTATCTTTTTTCTGCAACTATAAACATCTTTATTATCACGGCAACCACCACCCCGCCGATAGTAAATGTTGAAAACAGACCCCGGAGCGAAGGGCCGGACGCGCCCGGGCGAGCAGCGGCCGTTCGCCCTCTGCTCCTCCAGGCCCTCGAGCGCCGAGGACCGAGGGAGCGGAGGGCGAAAGGCCGCTGCTCGCTCCTCCTCTCGCGGCGGAGCTGCAGTCGCTCAGCGGGAATTCTTCTGATCAGGGAGGATTATGAGGATTTTAATGATGTTGGTATTAATGATGACAATACTACTACTACTAAAATAACTGTAGTAATGATAATGATGTTGATGATAAATGATGTCATTAATGATACTGATGATAACAATGATAATGATAGTAATAACAACGATGACAGTAGCAACAATAATATTGATAATAACAACAATAATGATAATGATGATGATAACGATAAAAATGAAAACTATAACTAAAATAGTTACAACAATTAATAGTAATAACGATAATGATAATTTCTATCATTATTAGTATCATCATTACAAAATTGTGTTTATTACTATTATCATTATCACCACTATAATCCTTATGGCTATTACCATCATTATCAACACTAACGTCACCACCACCACCATCATCACCATCGCCATCGTCATCAACGTTTTCATTATCATACTCACTATTATCCTTGCTGTTATCATAATTATCTTCATCCTCATCCACACCATCGCCACATTATCGTCATCACAGCAACTATTACAAGTACTACAACTAATATTAGTACTTCTATTGATATTAGTTTTACTGCCATTTTAATGACCAGTTATTTTATTTGTTATAACCATAATTATCATCATGATTATTGTTATTAATGTTAATCATTTTCACACTAATAGGATATATAGAAAAGGGTATGAATGAGAATGAATGTATTCATAGCGCAAGAACTTCATGTGTAAAAATTTATATATCGCAGTGAACAGTTTTTGAATGCAATACTATTTTATTGTTTTTATCTTATTTTTTCCACGGTGTGCTACTGTTATATAATAATATGCAAAAATGGTGATGCTTGTTAAGAGAATTAGCTATAATTGAGTATTTTTTACTTTGCCATTTTTCCACTTTGTCATTAGCATTATTTAATTTATCGTTTTTGCATTATGGATCTTGCTTAGTTCATTCTGGTTGGCAAAACCCAACATCAGCTGGCATCCCAGGGATCACACTTTTCCTCAATGACTTCCAGCACTTATTAACTTGTCTCGAAAGAAAAGGATAGCGACAGGAGAGAGCAAGAAGGGAAAGCCAGGGGCGTGCAGAGGGCTGTCGAAGCCCGGGCCAACTCCCTGAGTGTTTGCCCCAAAGACCCAGGAAGCCTCGTGGTAATGAGAAAGGGAGATGTTTTCAATATGAAATTGGAAATAAACACTTTATGCGCTATAAGTATAAAATTTAAAATCACTGTCTCATATCCCTTTCTGATTGGACCCCAACCCAACCCCATATGGATGCCCGGGGCAAACGCCAATTCGCCCCCCCTCCCCTTTCACGGCACTCGTGAAATAATCTTGTATGAGATGGTTTTATGGTTTGCTTTCTCTGTCATTATATAATAAACGGTACAGTGTGGAACCATTATTTCAAATGGTTTATCTTTGCGTTTTCTGTAAGATATATAATCATCTTAACGTAGGGTGACTTTTCATCAGATCCCCAAAACAGTCTCCCCAGGAGAGTCCATTTTCTACCGCCCGTTTTCTGTGTCTCCGCAG